ATAGATAGATAGATAGATAGATAGATAGATAGATAGATAGATAGATAGATAGATAGATAGATAGATACAGATACAGAGAGAGAGAGAGAGAGAGAGAGAACCTTTATTGTCATTTTTTACTGTGGGCACAACGGCACACATTAAAAATGAAATTTAGTTGCTTGCTCTCAAAGGGTACACATGCATAACACACATTTAAACATACCATATGCAACCTATGTATAGACCTACACCCTTACATATAAGTAACCTATAAATATACGTTATTTATAACATAAATAAGCAACATATAAACTCTAGCTGAGTTTCACAGCTGGAGAGGGACGAGGCAAGGAGAGACTTTGGCCATCGTTGGCGCCTCTCCCACAGACTGATCCTAAATGCTGGAAAAACAAGGATTGATTCAAATCGGAGTGGGACAGGGATTACTCAAACGTGGGATTGGATTCTACAGAGGCCTAGTGGGAGGAGAGAATGGCCCAGAGTATAGATAGTCCTCAACAAACAAGTTTTTAGTGACTGTTTCGAAGTGAAAAAAGAGACTCTTGAAGTTCTTAAAAGATATTCTTATGATTAGGGGAAAAAATATACCGAAATTATGAGGGGACCATGACATACATAAAGGAAGTAAGGCACCTGTCAGAGGACCCTGCCAACTTTGTTTCTAGTCCTCAACTCCCTGGGCCCAAAATTTCTGTCGTTAAGTGAGACCTTTGTTAAGGGAGTTTTCCTCCATTTTATGACCTCACTTGCCACAGTTCTTAAGGGAATCACTCCAGTTGATAAGTTAGTAACTCTGTTGTTAAATGAATCCGGCTGACTTTGCTTGTCAGAAGGTCGCAAAAGGGGGATCACGTGACCCTCGTGGGACGCTGCAACCGTCCTAAGTACATGCCAGTTGCCGAGCCTCTGAATTTTGATCACGTGACCCTGGGGACGCTGCGACGGTCGTGTGAAAAAAAACGGTCCTAAGTCACATTTTTCAGTGCCGTCGTAACTTTGAACGGTCACTAAACAAACTGTTGTTAAGTGGAGATCTTGCCTGTACCGTTATGGCTCAGTTTGGAGGGAGGGAAGTCTAGAAAGTGGATCTCTTGAAGATCTAAAAATAGGATGGCGCTCACCTTATCTGCTCTCGAAGCTATTTGTGGATCAAATCGTTCCTCCAACTACCTCTTTAGTCTTCTCGTTGGGAACATGCATAAGAAATTCCATTAAGTCCTTTTATTCCAAGGGGTTATTAATTCAGCAATAGTTTAAAGATCTCTCTGGAGTGTTTTGGGTTTTGTTTTTTGTTTAATTTCATCAACTGCATCAAAACCCATTCTGCACGCTTTGAGGTCAGCAAGAGTTATTTTGAAATAAAAGAAGAAACTCTGCCTAGCAAAATACCGTAGATAAAGAATCTTGATCCCTGCCTCTCTTTTCAAGGTTGAATTATATTCTCATTTTGTCGGTGATTTGGGCTTGTGCAAGGAAGCTGAGCCATTGACTAAGCAAATCAATTACGCCTGCAGTCCCAGCATAATGAGAATACTTTAATTGTTAAGGTTAAATTGTCTTCCAAGGAGATGTTGCTGGAGGGGAGAGCCGAGGATTTTGCGCAATATCTGCATGACAAAGTCGCGCGGATCCGGGAAGGCTTGGACTCTGACTGGTTGGCCCAGGGGGAGGGGACGGAAGCAGGTCTTGAGACAGTTGTGTGGGAGGAGTTTGACTCTGTTGCTCCCGAGGACGTGGACAGGGTCTTGGGAGGGCTGAACGCAACCACATGTT